AAGCAATTAAACATACTAAACCCCGATGAATACCAAGCTTCAGGTGAATTAAGAACCAAGCATAGTCTCCATTGACAAAAATTGGCCAAAGTAACAATTGTATACAGAGGAGCTCTCAATCACATACGAAGCATAAAAATCAGAATAACCTGCACACAGAAAAATTTTAAACCAATGCCTTGGAGTAACCCTAAGGATTTCAGAAGATCTTCGCAAAAATATCAACCAAAGATTACAGAGTTCCCAGGTCTTATGGCTTCTAATCCTGAGTGTTAGGAATCCAAAACTCCACGGTGTTAGGGATAGTAACAAAGTAGTCCAAGTAACCTTAATATTTTTTAATGTTTAAGTTGACTAATAAGTATATTTAGAAAGAAAGAAAATAAAGCTCAAGTGAGCAAAAATAAGAAGGCTGAAAATAAATGCTTAAGTGAGCAAAAGGCAAATAGCATGAGATGTAAATGCGAAAAGTAAATGACATAAAGTAAAGGCACAAAATAAAGGCATAAAGTAAAGTTAATTGTTAGTGAATTAGATGTTAGAAGCCAAGTATAACAAAAGGATAGTTGAATGACCATCTTGAAGCTTGCTTTGGAAAAATCATTAGAAGATTGATAAAATCAAAGCCCTCAACAACAAGTTTCATTTGCTTTTTGTCAAGTATATCATTCATTTCAAGTACTCAAAGCCAACACCAACGATAATTGAAGATTGAAATTAGGCCAAATTGATGAAGGCTTGTTAGAGGATTGGTAAGACCAAATCCTCCTAACAACAAGCTTCAGAGGTCTTGATCCAAAATCCAATAATCAATTATACTCGGGCTTTCAAACAAATTTTGGGCCACGAATGATCATTTTTTGAATCGGGAAAAATTTAGTGCTATGTTAAGCAATCGTAAGTGAACTTATGTAGAATCCACACCTATTTTGAGACCGGTTAATAACAATCTATGTACTATGTATGTTAGAGAAATGATATGTAGATCATTTTCCAAAGACATGTAGCACAAGTAAAAATAAGAAAGGGATAAGATAAAGAGGAAGCAGAATGGTAGTGTAACCAATGTCTCAGATGAAATTAGGGTTTTAAATATCATCAACATCATTCATCCATTTTGGTGGATTTGGTTTTTCAATCTATCAACACCCAAGATCCAATAAGGTTGAGGAACTTGTCCCAAAGTAATACTCAAATGTCCAAATCAGAACCAATCATAAAAATAATAAAATATAATTAATAAAACAATATTTAAATGATTAATAAAAAGGAAATAATTGGTAAAATACACAAATTATATTAAAACACCAAATAAAAAATCTCAAAAAATATCGGAGGTCGAACATTAGTCAACAGGTGTTGACAAAAAATTTTAGATTTTTTTTAAGTCAGAAACAATTTTTAAAATATAAAGAAATAAGAAAGATAAACCAAAATTTGTAAAAAAAAAAATAGTAAAATCAAAATTAAAAATTAAATCAGGTCACCAATATTTGTCAAGAGGTCTTTGGATCCTTCCATAATTTTTCAGAATTTAAAATGACCAAAAAGTATTTTTAAACAATTAAAGCAAGTCAAATAAAGTGAAAAATCATAAAAAAAAATATCAAATCACAAAATAAAATTGTGAAAAAATAAAAATCAGAAATAGAAAAATCAAAAGTATTTTTGATAATTTTTTCACAATTTTAGAATCTGAAATGAATTTTTAAAGTTTAAAACAATTAAAACAAAAATCAGAAAATAAAATAATAAACAAAAAAATGTGGACCATCTGATCATTGTCAAAAACATGTTTGTAATCAGATCCAAGGGATCTGGCGTGCTGTGCATGTCATGGACTCTCTTGAATAACACACTGGATCTCTAATAAAACCAGAAAATATAAAAATAAACAAAAAATATAGACCATTGGATCATAGTCAAAAGAGTTTGTAAACATATTCAATGGACCTGGCACGTTGTGCTTGATATGGACCTTAGCAAGAAAACACAAGATCAAATAAATGTGGGTCAAACAAAATAAAACTATTGGCACGCTCTGATTGGTTGAGACGAAACATGTCATCGTCTTCAACCTCCAGCCTTCAGAAAAACTAGAGAATTTGTGATTCTTCAAATGGAAAAATTAAAAGCTCAGACCGGTAATAATGGATTCGTCTCTTCAAGATGATCACAACCGTGCCCTTGCGAGAAATTTATATAAATTGTGTATTTCTTAATTTACAAAAGAATAGAAAATAGCGAGCACAAACTCTGGAGATTACATGATCAATTCTTAATGAAAATGAAAATTAGAAGAAGTGTGAGATTTAGAGACACGAGGAGAGTATATTGACTACTTATTTGAAGCAAAATGAATGAGTAATATAACTGAACAAAGTCTGAAATTTTTTCTCTGAAACTTGACTTAGCTAACACGATTTAGAGCACCTCGAGGCTTGGTTCTTCTTCTGTTAGCTTCAGTAGGGTTCAACAATGAAGAATTAATCAGGTAATAAGAGCTGGAAGGGAGGAAATTATGATTTCGAAAATTCAGAAATGTGAGCTATGGAGAGAGTTTGGCAGAGCTTCTTTAGCTATCAAAGGTTATCCAAAGGAGTGGAATAAGGTCTATATTTATAGGAGAATTGAATGGTGATGAGAGTGAGGAGAAATTGTGAAGGAATTGTGCATATCAAGTTGATCCAGTGGTGTGTGGAAAGTGTGACTTGCACATGGCCAAAACACACTCAAATCTCGTGTTTCAGGAACTAAACACAATTTGTAATCTCACTATAAATGATTAGTGAAATAAGTATGTGCAATGCTTGCTTAGCAAGTTCAAAAATCTGACTCTCGAGCAAAAATATTAATCAATGGTGCCAACTTCCATAATGTATAGCTTACTATTCAGGGATCTTTTTTTATTCATTCTTTTTGTATTTGGAAGATGAGGTCACAAACTTTATAATATGGTAAGAAAGATATCATTTGGAGATCTGATCAAAAAGTTACATCATTTTGAATTTGTGAAAAAAACATGACTTTTGTACTTAGAAATATTTCTAAGTATGGGACCTCAAAATGACCTATAATGTTCTTCAAAGTTACATGTCTTTCCATTCAAAATTAGCTCTTGATTCTTGAAGATGAAATGAAGTAGACTCTTCAAATTAAATTTTGGAATTGAGATTATTCAAATATCATAAAAATTGAAAGAGTTATGGTCTTTGGAAGATGATGAACAAATTTGGGGAAATTCACAAAAGACATATAATCTTTTTAATTCTTTAATGACTTTCCAAGTATTTTCAAACCTAGCACCTTGAAACAAAGTTGTAGTAGACATCCCAAAGATTATTGTAGAAACATAATTGGCTAAAGAAAATAAAAGATGATCAAGTTATGATCACTTGAATTCAAACCCTAATATTCAAAGGCTTTTCAAAGGGACTTATAATCTTCTTCAACTATTAGTGATCTTCCATTCAAAATTAGCCTTAGATCCTTGAAGAGAAGTTGTTAAGGACTCTTCAAAGAGAATCATGGCTCTAGAATCAATTAAAAATAACAAAATTTGAGCAAGATACAATCTTTAGAAGTCAACAAACCCTATCTCAGAGAGTGTCACAATAAATTGGAACCCCTTTCAAGTTTTGATGATTTTTCTTGCATAATTGGATCTAATTGTGTGAAGATAAGTTGTTGTAGATGATGATAAGAACCTATAGCAAAAATAACCGACTCAATATGTTAAAATTTGAGAGAGTTATGCACTTGTGATCACTGAATCAAAAAATTTCTCAATTAGGTCAAACTTGTTGAAACAACCTTGAATCTTTTGAACTTTCTTGGCAAGATAAAGCATGATGGATCCTATTAGACTTTGAAATGAAGTTATCTTGAAGAACAATCAAAGATTGAGCTTAAGTTTCAATGCAATTTGTTGAAGAAGGCGTGGAAGTAAACACATGATCCTATGAATCTTCTTGATGAATTCCATTCTCTTTGAAGTAAGCCTAACCTTTAATGAAATTGAGAGATTTCTTTAAACCAAAGAATTGTGATGTCATCATCATAGCCTTGAAGTTCAAACTCTTGGATTTCATTGAACAACCATTTGACTGAGGACTACCCCTCAAAATCCTAGGTTAGATAGTGAGATGGATGCAATTGTGTCATCACCTACAATATAAACATCCAAAGAAATATATATACATATTTTGATGTTAGTTAAAAAGTTAATCCACCCAAAAAAACACATGTACAAGATACACAATTCAAGGTGCTTGGTGATCCCTCAAGAGAAAACTTAAAGATAGGACGAAGTAGAAGAGAAAACCAACCCTAATGTGTGATCTTGATATATTGATACTAGGAGATAATGAGAGATCTTAGGGATAAAAATTAGGGTATAATACTTATTATTGTCAAATCTTAGAATATCTTCTAACCAATTGAGATAAGAAACATTTACAAAATAATTTGTGATTACTGAATGCATAATACGGAGATACATCTCTGAGCACTTTATAAAAATATATCTCCGAAATAAACTAACGTTAAATAAAAGATGTGTTCGAAGATACATCCCCGAAAACCAAAAAAAACTTTAAAAATTACATAGGATGTTTTTCAAGTACATAAGGTGTATTAAGAGATTCCCCACATTAATTTCATGGCATTCAAGTGAAGGAGAATACCACGAGATATTAATATGAGAAGACTTCTTAGCCTGCAAAACCTTATGATGAGATAAGTTCTATTGAATAGTTGCACTATCAAAATGTTAGGGCAAATAAGATGAGATAAAACCAATTCTCTCATGCTTTTCCCAATTTCACTAGCAGCAAATCCCAAAGATATGACTCCAATTTCTTGAAACCTTAGTAATTCAAACGGAAGATAAATTCCAATATTGAATCCAATTATGAAGCTCAATACTAAAAAATTCGTCCAAATTTCTTCACAATCTCATTTACAATGCATGTTGGTTTCTGGATCAACCTTCTAGTGTATTAAGTATTAACTTTTATATCTGAACATGACAGAAACCTGCTAGGCCGCGGCCGAAAATCAAAACGCCGTCGTTGTTTATGTGACAAACATCTCATCGGAGCCAACAGCGCTCTCCTAACAAGCTCTTCCTCAATGCCACGGATTCTCACAAGCGAGTTCGTCATGGCAGATCTCCGCGTGTTAAGACTTTTTGGCAAATGAGCCACCGCCGAGCCAGAGTTCTTATGGAGGCTACACCGAAATGAGCCAGGGTGTGTTGTCGGCGAGCACATACATGTACGTTTCTTCCGGTGACTAATCCGTTTGACTACCTCTGCAGGGATGGACCTTTTCGATGAAATGCAACTGTTGACGGAGGAAGATGAGCCCTTGAGATTGACATATGTAGGGGAGGTGGAGCCAACAGGTGTGTTTGATTTTGTAAACGATGCAGACATTTCAGCGAGAGAATGGTTGTTTTGTTATTCAAAAGAGGATTTACCTTTTGGTTTGGCGCAAACATATATATAGAGAAACGAAATTGCTTGTTACAGCGAAATGAACAAAAATTCATCCATATCCGACAGGTGTGCCTTATGTGTGTTCAGGATTTCCTTTAAATTTCTGTTGGGTATTTCCTTTAATTTGTTGCAACAATAACTAACATTTCGTTATTCAATATATAAAACTAAATTATCTTTTTATAAAGTTAAACTATTATATTACATTTTAATCACTTCGTCTATACGGGTCTCGTGTTTGAGGGAATACAAACTCTTATATTATGACTCAAATTCACATAGTACCGACAATCTTTGTCCATTTTCCTTTCCCCTCGAAGAATGCACAATGAGGATAACGGAGAGGCTAGGTGAAATCAACCACATATTAAATGAAGAAGAGAACTCTTCATGCCTCATATATTGTAGGAGATGAGCCATCGAGGACACCCTTTATCCTAACAAGTTCATCCTTCTCATAGTCGAGAATAAGTCCCAAGTTACAATAAGTTAGCTAATAATATCTTTCTCTTTTATAAAAATGAGTCATCCACCATGTCTCTCTATATTGTAGGGATGAGTCATCCACCACACACTCTAAGGGGGGTCGGGGTAGAACTGCATGTAACATGTATTATAGGCAAAGGACTCAACGCCCTTAAAAAGTTTATACTATATATGCCTATATAAAATGTTAGGTCAGATCATCACTTTATCACATCTTACAACCCTAAAAATGTATTGCTTAGTATATTACAAACAAGGTCACTATCATTGTACTCATTAGAAGTACAATTAGAGTCCATCGTAGAGTTTGAAAATTTGAAATGGATCTCACAATTTTCTAGAGCTTTCAAAAAACCTAGCCTCTATTTGATGATGATGGCCACAAGGGTTACATCTAGTAATGGCAACCAAGAGGTCCTAGAAGAGATGCACGCTGCTATGGAAGAATTATGTCACCCAAACCAAACCATGCAAACAAGTGTTCAAAGCATCAATCAACAACCGCGACAAGAGAATGAAAAACAAGAAGATGTGGAGGTGTTCGTGTGGATCTATGTGCTTACATGTATGTTAAGGACCAAATTGTTGATATATTTGTAGATAATTTTGTGGTCTTTTGCATTTTATTTTGATAATTAGTAATGTTTAAGTTTGTAAATTGATGTAAATAAGCAATTATCTAGTTTATGTTGTAAATTACTATGTTTACTTAGTTTTATGCTTATTTTGTAGGTTTTGATGTTGTTCATTGGAGCATTGGAGATTTGGACAAGCTAGAGCTAAGAGTGATGTGCAACAAGTCAAAAATGGGAGTTTGGTTCAAGCTAGTGCGCTAAGCGTATTTTGAAGCGCGTTGCGAGGATTTTCACATTTGGCAGAATGGAATTTTTGGGCCCGCTTAGCGCGGTCCACTGAACTGAGAAAGATATTTTTGCTGAGCCCGCTTAGCGCGGCCAGGCCGCTTAGCGGGACTAACTTTTGGGCACTTGTATAAGTAGCATTTTTGTGATATTTTGAGAACCAACTCTTATCAAACACACTAAAATCAAATATTTAGGTCTAAGAATAACTTTTCATCATTTGTAAATAAAAATAAAAGATTTCTATCTTAAATCTTTGATACTTTCTACTTTATATTCATCAAGCTTTCTACTTTACTTGTTGATCAAGCTACCATTGTGATGGGTAGCTAAATCTCTCTTTGTGTCAATATTAGATGTAGATAATATTCATCTTTGCATGTATTTAACTTGATATTTTGTATGTGAACATGTTGATGATAAATATATGGTGAAAACCCTTGTTTTATGGTTTATATTTGACTTGATCATTATTGAGAAGTTTGCTCGTCTCTTGACCTAGGTCTTCACTTATCAATAAACAATTTTTAGTAATAGTTTTGTGAGTTGATATTCACTAATATTGAGCTTTTAAAGTTATAAAATTGATAGTTAGGTTGAGATATCATCTAAGGATAAATTTGATAAAACTCACAATTTGTTTTAGAGATGAAACATATTGGGAGGATATGTGATTATATTTATTGTTAATGAGTTCACATGCCTTATTGAGAAAATACGTCTGAAGTAGATTATTGAGCCCTAATCTTGACACACTTTTACCAATCATTTTTAAAACTAAAAATTTATCTTACCGGTACTTGATACTTTGCATGAAATCGAAACTTTCCGTTACTAAAACCAAAACCAAACCCTTTTATGAATCTTAAGCTTAAAACGATTATAATTGTAGAACGACAGTGATATCACACCAAATCTCCGTGGAAAACGATAATTTAAATACTTTCCCTGTAAAGTGTTTTCAACAAAATGGCGTCATTGTCGAGGATTGGAGTTTGATATTGCAAGCATTGCACTAGTTCTATTGTTTTAAGTTAAATTGTAAAATTATAATATATCGTGTTTTTCACTTGTTTGGCTAGTGTTTTCAGACTATTGTTTATGCGAGGAAGCGTTTCTAAAGATCAACTCCTTTTTTACCCTGAAATCGAAAGGACTTGCAGAAGACTTAATATTAAAACAAGAAGGAGGAGAAAGCTAGCTTTGGAAAGGAAAGAAAGAGAGAAAGCATCTACTTCTTCAACAGTTCAAAATCTAGAAGAAGTTATGGCGGATCCACCAGATCCTCTCAGAGGTCCGTGCATAAATAATCTGAGACGGGACACTCAGTTTGCTCGCCATGCTAACGTGGGGCATTCTGAGATGTAAACAGGCATCCTTCAGCTCTTGTATGCAAATCCCTTCACGGGTCTAGACCATGAAGATCCTTATACTCACCTCACCAAATTCTATGAGATTGTTGGTTCTATGGGAGCTCCAGAAGAGGAATAAGAGCAAGTATTCAAAAGACTATTCCCTCATTCTTTGGTGGGGAAGGACAAAGATTGGTATCTTGGCCAACCCACTCAAATTATGATCGAGTGGAATGTTTTAGAAGAGAAATTTCTAGAAATATTATTTCCTCAATCTAGGTTTATGGAGGCCAAAACTGCAATATCTATGTTTTCTCAAGGTGGGAATGAGTCCCTAAATGGAGCTTGGGAAAGGTACAAGTCAATGTTGAGAAAGTGTCCTAGCCATGGTTTTGATTAGACTATGCAATTACACATTTTCCGTAATGGTCTTCAACCTCAACCGAAACTATTATTGGATGCTACAGTGGGTGGTTCATTAATGTCAAAGACTTCGGAGGAAGCAATTGAAATCATTGGGAAGATGGCTAGAAATGATCATCAAGTCCAGCATGAATGATGTTCCTCACAAAGGAAACCTGGAGTTCTTAAATTAGGTACCAATGATGCTATCTTAGCTTAGAACAAGTTACTTTCTCAGCAAGTGGAGGAACTTACAAAGCAAATGGATAAATTACCTCAATAAATCAAGGAGATGCAAGATATTCCAAGTAAGCAAATACAACAAGTAGCTTCTTATGAATTATGCCAAGGAGATCATCAAATTGGATTTTGTCCTCTGGTTATAGAAGAAGCGAATTACATGGGAAATCAAAACCAGAATCAATATTATCAACCAAGACAACAAAATTATCAAAATAACCAATATTACCAACAAAGTGGTAATCAAGGTTATCAACAAGATTGGAGGCAAGATTCCAGAAATTCAAACCGAAAAAATCCTTACCAAAGCCACAATCAACCTTTACAACCTCAAAGTGGGAGTTCCAAGATGGAAGAAACTCTCACTCAATTTATGAAAGTTTCTATGGCTAACCAAAAGTCAAATGAAGCGGCTATCAAAAATCTTGAGAACCAAGTTGGGCAACTTGCTAAGCAACTAGCCGAACAATAAACATGGTCGTCATTTTCCGCAAATACTCAAACAAATCTGAATGAGCATTTCAAAGCAATTGTAACTAGGAGTGGAAGAGAAGTTGGTGGAGAAGAAAATGCAAAGAAGGATGATGAGGTTGTTGAGGAAGAGATTATGGTAGAAGAGGAGTTAGAAGATGAGATAGTAGTAGAAAAAATGTTGAGGAGGACTTAGTAGAAAAGAAGGATATAGAAGAAAAATGAGAGAGAAGAAGGGGAAGGTGTTGTACCCTAAAATTTTCCCTCCCATTTTCTTCAAGACATTCTCATGAGGTCTCAAATACTCAAAGCTACTTAAGATTTGACTGGTCAAACCTCCCCCTAAGCAAGGGTCTTCAACTAGGGTTTTGTGCTTCTCAAGGAAGATTGGGTTGCAAGGGTCTCAAATGACTTTAATGGTGCATCATAGGTCCTTAATAATGCTTATGTCAAGTTTCAAGTCTTGCATCACATGTTTTCTCAGTCAATGGCTCAGAAGATTGAAAGTCAACTATATTGGGTAAAAGGTCAACTATGGTCAATATACAGTCAAATTCAAGATTCCTCATGGAAAGCTTTCAAATCATCAAAGGTCAAAATATAGCCAAATTAAGGTTTTGATTAAGGATGACTGATCATTGACTTTTGGCCTAGTGCATGATCTAATGGTTTAAAGCATGGTCTCAAGGGCTCAAATACAACATCTTGACCTAATTACATGGCTCAAGATATTTCCAAAGATACAAGTGATTGATAGTTGAAAAATTGAATCAATTGATGAAAAGTCAACAGTCACACAAAAGTCAAACTTTGACTTTTTGGTCAACATTGGAATTCAAAAATCAAGAATCATCAAAACATTCAAAATTATCAAGTTGGATCATCAAGAATCAAGAAAGTCAACAAAAGTCAAAATTGAAGATTATCAAACACTTAGAAAAATTCAAGTGTTTTATGCCTAAAAAACCTAACTTCACAAGCAAGTTTCCTTAAGATAAAAGTTGATTCAAGGAAAACTTTCAACATGAAAGTTGTAGGGATTGATGATTTCTACAACTTTGTTAATGTGGGATGATCCTCAAAAGTTCTTGGATTAAGAGATATAGGCCCATGAAGTTCTGATATT